TTTCAGGACTGAAGAGACTTTATCTTTCTATAGTTCAGTTTATGCACTTCAACTAAACAGTCTTTAATCATCCTTTTTTTCCTAGGCTCATTTGTGCACAAACTAGGTAGTTATGACAAACTGTGTCAACATTTATTCATTTCTGGTCATCAAAACATGGCTTTCAAGTGATCTTTGTTTTTTTTCATGGCCTGTGAGTCCCTGTATAAAAACATCACCCTGCAAGCCTCATTGCAGGAGCCAGATTAAACCAGCAGGTGAGTGAAACACTGGCACATCGTCATGAAGGCCATTCCATTGTTAGAAGGCTTCTTGTGAAAATTCTTAACCTCCTGTTTCCAATTTAGGAGCTTTATGCCTGTAGAAATCACTTTGTTGAGCAGCCTGAACACTGTTTCCACAGAGGCATCACAAGTGATGCAAGGGCTCAAATTACCTGGTATCAGTAGGCCAAGCAGTAACCCATCTCAGGTTCTCTGCCTCAGCCTCCAGCTCCCCAATCTGCTGCTGTGAAGAATAATACAGATTTTGATGTTTTGTTTGGAGTGTTTTGCATGCTCTATTGACAAGGCCATGTTTTTCCACATTAACATCAAAGAACTACAGTTTCCTAAAAACACATTTTTTCCACTTTTTTTAATTCAAATCTCCTCAGGGTATAACCTATATTTTTCCATGCCCCACATTTTCTGTGTGTGAGAAGCAGACTTGCCACCTACAGCAGCCACAGGACTCTTCATCTGTCTTTACCTTGCTTATAATAGCACTACTGAGCTGAGTCATTTTATGCACAATATTAGAGTAAGAAGCTTCAGTGGCAGTAAGGAAAACTATGGCATCGAGAGTGAGGAGATGACATTGTGAGATCAGAGAGCATTGAAATAGTTGGTTATGTTGTGTCAAACTGGTAATGCCTCTGTATGCAATGAAGACATTTCATAACTGTGAGAATCTAGTTACTCACCATTGATTCCTACACCACCACAGTGGCTAAATCCGGCTTTAGCGTCAAACACTTCTTCTGCTGGTTGTTTCACATAGGCACAACTTCTTCTTCCGGTGAATGACGGGCTAAGGTAAAAAAACTGATTGAATATTTTGGTTAAATAAAGTTGCCCTATGGTACAGTATACAAGTTAATGTTACTGAAGTTTTTGCTTATCATTTTTATTTTTGAACTTTTAAACGTTTTTATCTTTATGGTTTATCACCCTAAAATTGAAGTCAGCAAAACCCATCATCTCTTCAGCTTTCCTGCCACTGGTTGCCGTTCAATTGTGAAAGCAAGAGCTGCTTAAAATGATGTTATTACAGATATCATCAGAAATAATCATCAATGTCAAATTACTAGTAACAGAAAAAGGAATAATCTTAAAGTTGTTTACAATATTAAAAGAAATGTATTTTCACAGTGTCACGATATTAGTTCCCCCTCCTTAAGGGTGCTCCAGCCCTTTCACTTAAGACTTCATTCTCTGCACCTGTTTCCCATTCCTTGCCCACCTTAAAAGCCAGGCGCTGACGCTCTTCCGGGCTCTGCATCTGGTTTCCGTACCGTGCGAGTCCGGGACCTGGAAGCGCCTGGTCCCGTTAAGGTTTTAACCTCTGTTCCCGTTCCCCGTCCGCCGGTTCCGACCCGGCCTTCGTGGTTTTAAATTCTTGTTCTGATGGATCTTCTGGTTTTGGACTTACCCTTGTGTTTTGGATATTCCCAAAGGACTACTCTCGGATTGTTCGCCTCGGCCACACCTCCCCCGTGCACCAGCGCACCTTGGACACGCCCCCCTGTCTTCAGCCCCGTTTTCCTGCATGACGTTTCCCTAGTGTTTCCCCACTCCGTCGGACTGTGTTGTCCGCATAGGGTCCGGAAAGAACTGTTTGTTACACACAGTGCCTTGTGGTAAAACAAAATCAATTCAACACTATCTTTGCATTGCATGCATGCATATAGGAGTGCATTCTCAAATTAAGTTTAGAACTTAAATTAATAATTACTTTTAATAGTTACAAAAACATTCATTATTTACATGATAAAAATGAATGCTTGGTTCTAATTAAAACAGTATTTTTCCTTATTTAGCGTTGAAAGTATCCTGACGTTACTACACAGATATTAAAAAATCTACCTGTGCTCTAGCTGTGCTTATTTATCTTCACTGTTACCTGGGTTTAGGACAGGAATTCTCTTCCCTTTTCACCTCACAGCCCACTGTATGCGTAACGATAGTAAGCCCCCACACTGGTCTTGCTCTTTAAGTACTTCCACTCATCCACTCCTAGTCCATCTCCATATTTAATGCATCAGTGCCAGCAGGTGTTAGTGGACTAATAGCGGGGCTGGTCACAGTGTAATCCCTCACTGGCGTTGTCCCAGATGAGACCATAGTTCCATTCTAAATGTGACCATAGAGGCAGCTGCTTCGATAGCACAGTCACTGCAGTATTTGTGATTGCAAATCTTCCTTACATGCTTTTTCCAGTATATAACATAAGAACAGTAACAAACTAGAGGAGGTCCATGTTGTTCATTTAGTAGTAGCAAATAAATCCAAAACTCTCATCCAGCTGTTTCTTGAAAGAAGCCAGGGTCTCAAGTTTGAGATGGTTAGTCAGCCACTGTTACTACATGAGAGAAACCCAGTAAGGTTTCTGAACCGATCGATTTCCTGTTTCAACTAACGCACATTATTTTTGCACTGAGTTAATTTTATTTTCTTAATTTTGTGGCCTATCATTAACGTTTGCAGTGAAAAGGCTACTTTTCTCTTTTTCAGATATTTCTAGGTAGCTTTTGAACTTCGACTTAGCCCGGTGATAAGGTTCATCCTTAATTCAGTCCTCTCCATCACACCCAGAGCCCATTTAACAATGAATTATGGTGCCTGCTACTATGCCAGAAAGACCTTACTGTATTTCTTCCTCAGCCTTAAACCTGGATGTGATTAAGTTACAGAACCAAAATGTGCACTACTGCTACACAAGCAGTTTAAATTATGTTAGCAAGTAATGGCATGAAGGTCTTATTCACCCAGTTGCATAAAATCACTATGTCAAGAGCAGTAAATTCTTCAGTCTTAATTCCATTAAATTGGTACTTTTCCTTCCTTACTTCACTACTTAGAATTACCGCTCCAATATGTTGGACATCATGAATTCTTATGATCCAGCTGCTTGATGATGTGAATTTCAGTATATTGGAATAATAGTACTTTTTCTATAATCCTTGATCTATGGCCTGTCACAAATAATTCCCATTTACCATATGGATGCTATACAGAGATTTCCCTTACTTGTTTCCGATCTGTTCCCTACAGTTCAAACATGGTCTTGGTTGCTGTGTCTTCGTGCTTAATGCCATCTGCTATCCCAAACAGAGTTTCAAAAGGAAAGTTATGATGCGAGGGATACTCTTCGGGGAATTCGGTCCCTTTGTGGTCGCTAAATGAGTAAGAAAAAAAAAGAATAACTCCAATCTGCAAAATGAGCACAATTCTTCATTAGCTTTCATTGAGAGCAGAGGACACAACCTCTGGTTTCAGTGGACTAGGACAGCAAGAGGGGGCAGATGAACAAGATCCTTTGTTTGAGGTGTGTAGCTAACTGTCCATGACACCTGTCCCATTAGGCTATCAGTCCCATTGCTCTGGGAAGTCAAGTAGCCCAAAGCATTGGAGCCATAAATTTACATTTAATGGTTAATGATCTACCTTTAACACATCAATAGTTCACTCAAATATTGTGCATATATTCTTATTTAAGGAAACAGCCCAGAAAGTGTTCTTCCAAACACTAAGAGCAAATTTATTTGAAGAGCAACCATGATGTAAAATAATAATAATTATATTTGGTTAAATTATGGCATTAAAACATCACAAAGCCTTTCAGGCAGCAGTGCAGCACTTACCGTTCTTTATCCCCATTTTGTGAAACTTTAAAGGCTTTATCTGATGCCTAAGGAACCTCACATTACCATGTAAACTACTAAAATAAAAGTATAATGTATACGCTTGTGGGTTAAACAAAAATGTAACACCTGACAAATAGTAGATAACATGAAATAATAGTTTGTTCCACCTCACCCTAGCAACTTCTCATTTAGTGGTTTATAGCCAGGTACCTGGAAGTACAATTTCATTTACTTCCCTTAACAGAAAAACTATCAAATTAAAATCTGAGCTATTAACATACCTTTGGGGGTAATTCAAAAAAAAATGAAAAAAACCTTCTCGAACAAAAGTAAATATACAGTGCTTTACAGTACATTTTAAAAATACAAGAATATTCTAAAGGAGACAACTTCAGTTTCCAATTTTGCACTTACAAGTGGAAGTTACAATGAAGTGGTTAGCATTGAGTTCAGGTCCTTGGGCTTTACCTGCAAGGAGCTTGCATGTGTGCGTGGGCTTGCTCAGGGTGCTCCAGTTTCCTCCCACAGTCCAAAGACATGTTGGTAGATTAATTGGATTCTGGGAAAACTGGCCCAGGTGTGAGTGTGTGTAGATTTGTGTATAATGCATACATGTGCCCTCTAATGAGCTGGCATCCCGGGTGTATCTTGCCTTGCGCCCATTCTGTACTGTGATAGGCTCTAGCTCCCCTGCAATCCTTTCCTGGATAACGTTGGACAAATGCATTCTTCCATATTCAAGAAACGCTCAGGTAGTAGCGCTTCACAAAGCTGTAAACTGTACATCTGCAGCTCAGAGAGCACATCATGTGACATCTGAAGTCTTGCAGTAGGTACTGTCTAAAGGAAAGAGCTGAAGGACTCGCCTTGTGCAGACCTGGAAAACCATACATACAATCCTCAGACATGTTTCAATTTATAGACTCAAATGCTGGTTGCTTTTGCCATCCAGTACATTAAGGCTGACTGTGGCACTCTTGATCCCCTTCAGCTCGGCAGCTTGCTTTCAGCATCTACTTTACACTTTCAGAATCTGCCATGCAGAAATACACAGAATAGTAGGAACCTTAAATGACAAAATCCCCACACATGGTGACAAGAATGAGACTTTTAATTGGTTTTAAGTGGAGTTTATAACACTAAGATAAAGGGTAGTTAAACATACAATAACAAACGGACATCGGATTTGTATGAGCATTATAACCTGTACATTTTCATACATTGTTGTTTGTGTATTCTCAGTGCATAGCATTACACACAGAGCAACTCTTGCACAGCACAATAGTATCTGAACAGGCTGAAATGGAATAAGGCTGTTTTACAGACTGAAAATATACTGAGTATACATACTCTACATAAAATGAAGTCCAGAACGGAATGGACAGAGCAATAGGCAGCTCTATCCAACACTGCAGGTTAAGCCCCTTTAATTTAGTGCACAGTCCCACCCCTTCCATCTGCACGCATGACAAATGTATTTTAACAGTATTTAGCAAGTATTTTTTAACAGTAAACAAGAGGCACTTTGTGGCAACCACAGGCATTGTTAAAACATATTGCACAAATCTGCTAGAAACTAGTGACATGAAAACTTGCACACTGGCACCTTTATGAAAATTTTAAAGCTGAAACTTAATTTTGATGCTGCCTGTGAACTCCACCCAAGTTTTATAACCTGTGCCACAGTTAAAGACCTCAAAGGCTGCCTGGGAGTTTGATTTTTCTGACTTAAGGTACTGTGGCAAATCTTTCCAAAATGGGGCTACAGATGTTTAGGGATGGCCTGGGGCCTAACAGTAAGCTCTATAACAGTGATGCCCTTGAATAGTTTCATACATTTAAGCGCTGAACATCTAAAGAAATAAGCATAAGGGGTCCAGAAAGTCAAGGGACAAAGAATACCTGCAGAGTGTCTTCACCAGAATACTTATGAATACTGTCATAAATAATTTTTTAGTTTTTTAAATTTTCTTTAAAAAAAAAAGTCAGGACATTTTCAGTCAAAGTAACACGGTTGGTTCTATGGGTGGGGGGGGTGGTGGGGGTGAATACAAGATTAAGGTACACTAATGCCATTTTATTCCACCTCTAACAACATCCTAAACTGCTTGCAAGGCGTTTCTGGAAGAAAAAAAAAAACAATTATGGACCACTGACTGAAACCCTGCAAAAACCTGTAACAGTGCAAAAGTCTAGTACAATAGATCGCTCTTTAATGCAGCTTTAAATAATGTACTTACTGTATACTATCTAGTCAGTGCTTGGGCAGAAAGGTAGATTTTCCAAAGCAGTAGCAGTGTAAGCATTGTCATCTTCAAGTAAGGCAAAGAATACCTCCCATAGGTGCCCACCTCTCCAAAAAAATAACTATTAAAATTAGGAAGGACAATAAGCTTACTTTTGGCAGGTTTTCAGTGATGTGATAAGATGTGCACGAACAATCAGAAAATGTAAAATGCTTATTAAAAAAAGTGTTAACTGGGTCAACAAGTTTATTTGCTCTTAAAAAAAATAAAACCTTCCTTTGATACCTAGGGAATATATTCTTTATATATAAAGGCGAGTTAAACGGCATGTGCAGTAGGTTTATGATAAGGGTGGAGCCTTAACGTCAAACAGTACAATGAAGGCAGCTTACATCTCTACCCTCAGTGAATATTCCTGCCCAAGAAACTGAGAAGTTTTTGGTCTGGCTTGTGACACTCCAACAAGCCAGGAGTTAGGACATAATTTGGCATGCTTAAACAAAACTTAATTATATATATAAATATTCTCATATATATAGGGCTTCTATATTTTTATTTCTGAAGCAAGCTTGAGACTTTCATTAAAAAAATCTTGAGCTGCACTATTCCCCCATTCCAAATGGAATTAAACAGGTTTAAATAAAAAGCCAGTCAGGGACACCTATTGCAGAAAGCTGTAGAAACGAGCAAGGGGCACATTGTTGCAGGGTCTACAAATAGTTTTCACACACATACACAATAGTGCATGTCATTACTACTGCTTGCACCATGTCAGACACAGATTTCTGGCTCCTTGTTATTGTATATTTAATATTTGCTGTTTGGCAGTTTGTAAGCACCATTGTTGGATATACAAATGATCTAGATCTAGTGAGACCTGACACAATAAGGCTACAAACAAAAGTTGCACTTGGGAGCCAAAGATCTGATGTCTCACAAAAGAACCTAAATAGCTCCAAGGTTAAGCTGAGATTTAAGTAGTCATCTACTTGTAATGTAAACCGTTAAGAGCTTTTGTACAGTCAAACCCTCAAAAAGGTAATCCTCTACAATGAACACTTAACGCATTTTATTTTTACCATAAACCCAGTAGGAAATGTGGAAATGGACTGCATTACACATTTAATCAGGTTCAAGAGGGGAGCTGCAAAGAAGTAAGTAGTGGTTAATTCCACGCTGAAAAACAAAAAAGGCAAAACCATGTTGGCTGTATAGCGTTCTTCAGGTATGACACCTGAAGGCAACTCCTTAGCTAAAATATTTGATTCTCTTTTCTCCTTTTCATATTGGAATTCACCTGTACTTGTTCCTATTAATTTATCAAACCTGCAGAAACCATGGAACTGTTTAATGCTATTTGTGAAGTATTTCCTGGCAAAATACAATCTGAGTTTAAATGACATTGGAAACTGCTTAGAAAAAGAATGTATACCATTTATTTAAAGGACATGGACACAAATCCAATAACATGCACATCTGTTTGCCTTTTAAATGAATAGTGTTTACATTATTGCAACACTGATTTCCCTGCTGTTTTGTATATTAGATTTAACCTTAAAAAAAACATTGACAATTACATGGGATACTGTTCTCTGCATACCTTTAACAGAATACACAGTGGTAGAAGGAATGGAAAATGCTTAAGATGTCACAAAGCCTATTTAAAGTATTGATATCGACTGTAGAATTCTAACATGCAGTTTCCACTGCACAATAATTACAGATTACGGGAGATAGCCTGCAAACAGCACGCAAAACATTCACAGTAGGTAAAAGTGGAGGTGTGTGGGGGGCAGCTCTGGCTAGGACAGGGGGGGAGTGACAAAAGCACTGGCCTTGTTTGAAAATGGAGCAGAAAAGTTCAATTTTAAAAAATCTTCACTAATTTCTCCCCCCACTTTTTACTGCTATAACAGCAATCACATTTCTATGGTTAAGTACTAGATGTTTATTTTGTATGACCCCAAAGCATTAAATCCCTTCATTCAAGGGCCATTAATATTCTGTGGAAGGTTCTATCTTGTCCCAATTCAAAAGAATCGCTCCCTCTAGCTGCCTTTTCTAGCACCATTATGCTTTAAAAAAAAAAAGAAAAGCACAAAACACAAGCAGCAGTAGCAGCTGATTCCATAAACATCCAAGGATTATTAATGTTTGCAAGCTGGAAAGGTGCATTTCAATAAGCTGGGAGATGGTGCATGAACCAGCCTGGTCTGTCTTCCTCTCATCATAAGTGCTCTTTCCATCCCTTACCCATACTGCTTCTGTTAAAATGCAGGCAAACCGTTTCAGTAACTGTTTTAGCCAACTGCAATCTGGTCTTTTTATTTGTCGCGGGAATGAAAGGGGTAGCATACGGACCCTTTTTGTTTGCATTTAGCACCTACAGTTGGTGATGGAACACGAAGGGAAGGACCATTCTACAATTAAACACCGGATCTGTCTCCACCTTAAAACTGGAATTAAATGGGAAAGTGCTGTCTTTTATCTCCTGATTGTGTTACTTTTTCCATTGTCTCTTTGACACAAAAAGGTATATACACAACATAGCTACTGAACCTTTTTTCCACTGGACAACGGTGTCAAACCCTTGCGGATGTATGGGGCAAAACAAAATTGGTCAGGAAAAAAAAATTGTTCCTATAATTGGTAGCATTTTACTTGACACAATGTCCTATTGCCATTTGAAAAAAGGTACTTGCTTTTCAGTTTATATTCAAGTTTTCTCCTTTTTTTCTCATTTTTTCTTCCCATAAAAATATTTCAGACTTTTGTTATCTGTGTATGTTGCTCTTCATCAAAAGGTTCATTTTCAGGGTCAGAGTCAGTGGTGTCAGAGTATCTATAGTGATCGGGTTCATTGTCACTAACGTCCGGGGTTACTGAAGTTGAAGTGCTGGCCTCTGAATTTGATGGCTCCTCCACGGTTTTCGTAAAATACAGCTTCACCTAGGAAAGAAGAAACCAGATGCTACTGAACTTGGGTATCAAAAGACCAGTGACAATGCTAGGAGCAGAAAACTTCCATACATTTAATCATTTTTATTTTAAGGCATCACCTTTTATCTTGGGTACATAAGCTATCGAACCAAATCTTTCAAATGTTAATCTTTCAAAGGTCATGCATGCGAAAATCTTAACCTGTGGCAACTCTTGTATCATTATATCTAAATCAGCAGCTAACATCTGGGCCCTCTGAGAGAAAGCCTCCCTGATGAACAGCTACAGATATACAGCATATTGCAAAAGTTAACGCTCCAAGGTGTCAGAGAAAAGCTATGATCAAAAAGTCCAGTTTTAGATGACCTGTTTGAGAAAACCGCAGCTATATACTACCATGAAGATATTTTATGTCCACAACTTTGATGTCACACAACACACATCTGTACAACCATAGGCCTTCAGTAATCCCTTTGCTCACTTTGTGGCAATCTTAACAGTACCTTTGCCCAAAGATCTGACTAGGGGTGAAGTTGGACTTGACAGGGATCATGCCCTATCTTTCCCACTACCACATGATGCATACATTGGCAAGGCATCAACTGTTTATTTTTAGAAGTAATTCCTGAATCTTATTTACTTTATATCATATTACACTTAAGTGATCGTCCCATAGAAGACTGAATTATTGAATTATATACGATATCAAAGGTGCTACTGACCGGCAAATAATTAAGCTCTCACCCAATTAGTGGAGAACACTGGTCTATAACCTGCCTATTTTTTGACAGTTTTGAAAGCTTGACTCCATAGAACTAGTCCCCTAGTAGATTGAGTCATTTATAACAAAAGTGGGCTTGGGAGCCTGGCATTGCTCATTTGATAAGACGCTCCATATGACAGTGCACTATAGTAGCTCACATCCTGAGGCTACTACACACTGAACGCCATCTGAACAGCTCATTAACTGCAACAGAAATACTACCAGGATGGGGAGGGCAGAGAGGGGACAATTTGGAACTCATTTGCTTTCTACACATTTAGACAGCTATACTAAAGTCTTAAAACAAAATCATAGCTCCACCTTAATATATACTCTATCTCCACAAGTGCCCCCCCATCAAAACTTCGACAGCGCTTTAGTTTGGGTAAGAAGAAACGACACTTTTAGAATTTGACATCTTTAAATCAACGTTAAGAACCTCCAACTCAACTCAAGGTACACGGGACCAGCCATAATATTGTTTTGTAGTCACTAATGCATCGTATTTATCAATCAGATCTGATCTCTGTTAATCATCATTTGTTACATATCATAAACCAATGAGGATACTTTTTTCACTGTAAAATATGGACCCAACAGGATTAACTATTAGCTTAAAACAAAATGGATAAAATCAGAAGACTGCCTTAGAGCTGTGCGTTTGCATGTCACAAAAATGCAATGAACTGTAGAGAAGTTCAAAACGTCTAAGACACTTTCACAGGAATGTACATGAAAAAGCCTCTACTGGAAAGCATTTATCCAACAAAAATGTCTTGACAATAAGAAACTATTCTAAGGGTTTACTTTAAGCACCCACCTTTACTACTACTACTCATTCTTACCTTGAAATTTGGAGAGAAGTTTTTGTTGGCTTTGTCTTTATTTGCTTTGTCCAGATCATTCTTTGTTAATGTCAGGATTAGATAATCCTTGTCGTTGTCTCCACGCTCTGTACTTTGAATTCCATCAAGTTCTTTGACTCCTACTAAGCTTCCATTTTCAACCTTCTCCAGATTTTCTTCTGGTCCAGGTATGAAGAAGGTGTTGATCCAGAAGTGGAACATTTTATCCTGATAAGGACAATGTTATACAGGCTCTTAAAATCATTACTTAATAGATTCCATAATACACTTTTACTTATAAAAATCAAGTAACTGTTATTCAAAGTACTCAACACTACAACACTACAAAGATTGTCGAGTATGTTAAGGCCGAATCACTGTAAGGTCCCTCAAATTTACTTCAGATGAATATAAAACACAACAAAAACATAAGAAATGCATTGGGCCATGCTAAGTAATATTCCATTTTAATTCCAAGCTGAAAAGCAAAGTTTTTCAGGTGCTTAGTGTAATTAGATTAAATTTAAAAATAACCCCAAATTACCTTTTTCATCATCTTGTTTTGTTTGTGGAAAAACTCCACTTTGATGTCACCACACACTGGCAGAGGCTGTGGAAACTCAAAGAACATGTATTTGTCTTCTCGCCTCGTGTGCGCTGGGTTGGAGGTGTGGATCTTAACTTTGAGCTGATAAACCACAAACTGGGGATCTGCGAAGAGAAGAATAATTAATCTGGCGCTGTGCAGGAGCTCTGATTTGCCTATACAAAATGATGGCATATATTCCATCTGTGAAATTCACTGTATGGTGCAATATGCAAAGAAGAAGGAAAAAAAGACAGGATACACGGTACCACTGCCAGAGATGCATGTTAATATATGAAAGACAAGGTTAATAGTGAAATGCTAAGGGCCCTATTCTGAAGCAATACAACAACTCTTCAGTCAAGCACACTGCTAACTGCTTGTGTCAAATCTACGAAATGTGGTGTGTGATGTACGCACAACATTTAGAAACAGATAAGGGTCTACTCTACTCAGCATTAATATTGTGAAAAAAATAATTGATGAAAAACCGATTTTTACCCCAGTGCCAATTCCCTTTTCTGAAACCATGTGGAATCTGCTCAGTCTTGTTTTTAACTGCAGTATCCCCTTAGAGGAAAAAAAAGGGAGATTAAAACACAGTCCTGGAACCTTGCTGGGGCTGATAAGTGCTCTTGAAATCTATACACACTTGATTTGCTTACTAAATTTGATTTTATTTTTAATTAAAAATGTCAGCATGCAGGCTGCAAACTTGCTAAAATTACACTGGCATCCCTAGCAAAGGTAACTGAAATGGCAAACAGTGAAGGGATGGCACTTTAGTCCAATACTGTATAATTAAAATGACGTGAGTACCTAGACGACATTAAGGTCAAAACTAATAATGTGGCATACTAAATGCTCAGTTCCTCAGTTTTATTCTCATAGCTGTTCACTGAATCAGTTAGCTCTGCTAGTATGACAGATGTCTAAATGTTTAAAGTACAACTTGTAATGGAAGCACTACAGCAACCTATGTGTGAATAACTGATAAATAGCCTACTTCCCAGTGTGCATGAAATCATCTGGTCTGAGTAAGACCGGTAGATTGAAATAACCATTATCAAAGCAAAAAAACAAAAAAATTAGATCCGGATAAAAACCTGCACAAATTACGCAGGATTTCAAGAAAATAAACTCAGCACAACCAAGATTTGCTTCCACAACTGTTGCTGATAAACACACCCAAGCTAATTCAGAATAGGGCCCTCCGGAGGGAAACATCTGTAAGACGCACAGCTGGAGGAGAGAGGTGCGTACAGAACACTGAAGGAATTCAAAAGGTGCCTTGTAGAGCTCTTGCATACCAGAAAGTCACGGAAGACAAAGTCAAAGTACAGAAAACAAAAACAGAAAACCAAAATCCATATAAAATGACATTTGTTGTACTAAAACTTAAGCAAACAGTAACTGGTGCGCTTTGAGTGCATATAAAGCTAGCCACATCCAACGAAAGGAAGGCGGACTCTTAATTTAGTCTTGCACTTGTCACTGGAGGAAGAGGGCAGCAGAACAAAGCAATAACACTGCATCCCAAGTGAACCTCTGGCTCCCCCAAAAAAGGATGCAAAGCTTAACATGGGGCCAAAGGATATGACATCACCAGTTTCTGCATAACCCAAATTCACTCAACTACATACTCATCCAGATTTCAAAACCTCATTTGCAAATCACCCCAGCAGGACAGGAAGAGAAACTTTGAAAAAGACCAACAATGCAATACATACACTACATACAATTAATACGGTAAAATAACTTACTACATGTTCCTCCACTGAACATTGGAACAGTCTCAAACACCATTTTGTGAAACAGCAACGCCACTGGTTTGTACTCCAACTGGTTTTTCAACAGGTAGCTATAGTAATAGACGTAGCGCCTCTGACTGGGAATTGTTACTCCCTGTAAAAAAATTAATAAATCAATAAAATGCAATATATATATACACATTTGGACACACGCTTACTACATCCCTTCTGCTTAATCAGTATGCCCTTGCTTTAAAAGAACAAGTCATGAAGCAATTAGAAATTAAAATCTAAAAATATATCCCTATTATTTATCATAAGGCAGTAACGGCCAATAGTAAGTAGTGCGTGAACACCAGCGTCTTAAAAGGTAGTAAAAGCAATTTCCATGGATGTTTTTCCAAATTCCATAACACACAGTGAAACTGTCCAATTACACGCCTTGGGCCAGAAGACCCTTTCCTGGGGCTCTCTTCATGGCTTGTAAGATGCCTGCAGCTTAAGAAACAGACACATATGCACACTTTCGTGATGTGTGCATTTTCTCCAAACGAAAGGAACATGAAAGGAAGATTCATCATTCAAGCCAGTGCAGCTTGCTTTAAAAGCTGTGAAAGTCATTAACTCATCAAAAGTTCCTAACACCTATTAATAGTGAAAGCGGCTTTCATGCTGTTCTACCCAACTGAACCTAAGGGCTTTCTCAGCAACTAAACGTCAGTTTGAATTTCTGTGTCGCAGACCAGAAAGACAGCAGGTCATTAGGAATATCTGCTACTCCACAGTTTAAATGTTTTAAGTTGCTTGATTAGTACTTTTAACAAAAGCTACTTCCTATACTGCAGTTAAAGTGGTCTTGGAGCCCTTTCCAACCCTAAAAAAACACTAATTCAAAAGAAAAAACATTTTTAGTCATCTGTCTTTCACATTACCTCTCCACTTCTAAAACATACCTCAAGAGTATGAAAGCTATACCTTATTACATTCTAAACTTGAAAACTTTCAAAATTGAATGTTAAAAAGTTAATTCTAAACAAAGAAATACCAACTCCAATAGACAAACACTTCCATTTTCACAGCTAATATTTGGAGCATATGATTTTCTACCAGGCATCTACATTTTAAATTCAGAATAGGTATAACAGCAGTCTAAAAGCTTTAGATAGAAGATTCAAATATAATTTTCATATACTAGAAATCCAAAGCTCCTAATGCTTCAAAAGCTACAACAGGAAGTACTGAAAAGGTAAGCCACATACAGTTTGTGTCCAGACTTACAAAAAAAAAGGGCGATAATGTTTTCACTAGAAAATAAATTCACATTCACACAATCTCAATGTGTTTAGACTGACTTTATAAAAGAGCCAAATAATAAAGCAGGAAGAAATACTAAATACAGGAATAGTAAGATATTATTTGACATGCAAGTACTGACCTTCTTGTCTCTGGTCCTCACTTCACCGTAGAAGTCTAGAGCTTCTTGTGCTTTTAGGAATTTACCTCGGTGTAGCAAATAAGCACATATCATTACTCCTGTTCGTCCCTTTCCAGCTTTACAGTGAATCGCTGCAACATGATTGTCATCTTCACTCAGCCATTGGTCAAGATCTTCACAGAAAGGTTTAATAAGCTCTAGCTGGGGTGGATTGTGGTCTTCAAAGGGATACTGTGCAACTGGAAAATAGTTTGGTCAAAAGAAATATTTTAGTGGACAGAAAAACGTCTGTGCAGTATTATATAAACAATGTAATACGCACACAAGGGACAAGCCTACAGAAGGTCCATTTAGACTTACCTCTGCAGTTAAATTTGGCAGCATCATAATGTCTCTCTGCACATCTGCAAAGAAAAGACTCCGTTAACAGAATGCAAATATTTACAAGCATAGAAGTTTGTCCTATACAATCAAAATAAAAATTAAATTCTATCTGAAAAATACCCCTCCATTACTAACTACCCTACCTAGTTCTAGTCTTGCACCAAGGTTTCTTAACTGGATTACTAAACTACTAGGCCTGCATGTCCCTGAAACCTGCCTTCTTCAGCTTGTGGTGTCATTTGACTCTTCTGCTTCCTACCTGCAGCTTTACCTTTAAAAAACAAAGCAGGGTGAGCCTTCAGCTCTGAAGCCTGCAGCTCCTGGTTTAAACAGTGTCGCTGCCTCATGACACAGCCAGCTATATCAGATCGGAACTGCAGCACCACTCACTGCTATCTGGCCCTTTCTAGAAACCATCCTTCTTCCAGCTGCCTGGACCAACCTGGGCTTCTCTCACACGAGAGTAGTGGTGATCTACACAGCTGCCGTTTCACTTATACTGAACAGAAATAGATACCCTCCATTTACTAGTTTCCTACTTTATTTCCTCAGCTGTGTAAACTCACCCACTATTTAGCTTTGCTGAATATAGATGTCAGGCAGATAAACAAACTTGTTATAAGGCACTGCATTCTCTCATGCTTAGATCCTCTAAAGACTGCCTAACGATACTGCATAAGTCAAATATGCTCCATGTTACCCGCAAAGCTTTTCTTGAAAGATTCAAGACGTTTGTCTATTTTAACCCATAAACCGCACAAATCTAACTATCAGCACACAGTACATACTCTCGGCAAAATGTTCACTAATATGCTTTTACTTGCAGGACATTTAGAAATACAGAGCAATACTTTTATTTTTTTTAACAACAAACACCAGAAAATCTCATGTGTGAGCTGTGTTAAGATAAAAAAATACTTACAGATTATATATCTTGTAATGGTTTTTATGTTTTGAATCAAGAAACCTAAACAAATAAAAAAAAAACAATATCAACAAACGCATTACGTCTCTACATGGCACTGAGTATATAATAAACAGTAACTAAGTCAAGGGTTAACATTTTTAAACTTTGTCTTTTTGTCCAAATGCTACTTCTAAAGGAAGACTGAAAAAATGAAACTGCAGAAGGTGCAATCCAGCCCAAAATGCTCATCGCAGGTCCCCTAGGCATGTCTGATAAAGTTGGGTCTACATCACACATAAGCTTACGTGCATTTAAGAAAAGCAATTACTTAAATTCAGATCATGAAGAAAGAAGTTTTGATGTATTTTGGAAAACTTGAAAAATAAACCTTGTTTCAGAACTGTAATAAAAACAAAAGCTTTACATATATAAGCTGACAGCTTTACATGATACAACACCTAATTTGATATTTGTGGACTGATTTTAGCTTGTGTGTCAATACAGCAGTTCCAATCCAGTCATTCACAAACTAAAAACATTAGTAGAAAAAGGTTTTCATGAAGAAAAGGTCAGAGTGCCAGTGGTTCATCAGGAATTAGATTTGATTTCATCCAAGTAGACTAGCAGAGCTTCTCTGTAGCACTAAGAGTAAAACAAATTACACTATTGTGTGATCATGTCCTGTTTAAAAATGGAGGAAGTTATTTAGACAATGCAACCCCAGGGTTAAGTAAAGTTCACATGTAGCTTGCAAGTTACAGTTAAGTCTCCATTGGGTCCAGACTGGTAGTTTTAGTATGTTAAGTTTCTCAAATATTGCTTAAGTTCCTCATGGATATCCACTGAAATTCAATTCTTTTGAAGAACCACCTGCAAAATACAGGATGACTCACTTTTTGTGTACTGCTGCTCACGACGGGATTTTGTAATTTGTAATAAACTGTCTACATGTAATTGCACCAGTGCTGAATATTCCTGTGTGGTAGTTTAATTTTTAAATGACCCATTCAAAAGTGGTGTCACACCGCAGTAGTCTAAAGTGAAACTTAATTTGTGCTAGTGTAAAATCTTACAATACATTTACTGTTTTCAATGCTCATGAAGGCATGTTGTGATTGAGATAGTGGTGGTGGAGGGGAGTCCCCATTACCTGTAAAGCGCTTTGAGTGGAGTGTCCAGAAAAGCAATATATAAGTGTAAGCAATTATAATGATGATTATTTAAATAAAAGGCTGCTGCATACTATCACTGTCTCAGCGCCACTAATACAAATGTGTCAGTAGTGGCCAAGTAGGTCTAGACAAGTACATTAAGGTAAAAAACAGGACTAAAGCACAGTCTCATGTGAAAATCTTGAGCTAAATCTGGCAAAATGGTACTTCCTGATGTTTATCAAGCGAGTTCAACTGTTCAAAACTATAACTAACATCTCAAAAGAAATTACAAATTTTAATACCTGTTCTAAAGTTTTTCAATGTAATGACAAGATCACCCAAGAGTAAAGAAAAAAAAACTTATAACTAGAAATTTAAAAAGAGCAAACCATCCTCTGAAAAGCAAGAGCCTTTAGTAGGGAAGAATGAGTCAGGGCTGTTATTCTTACTAGACGGCAGCAAGAGGTTTGGTGTTTAAATGCTATGCACCTGCTGCATTTAGACAACACGAGTGGTTTGCGGTGTCAGTGATTTGGATGGGTAAAAATCAAACGCCTTCAGGAACCCGAGATCGATTGTTAACTGCCTTTAAGCTTCCCCAAATTATGTGGATCACATCTTGAGAACTGCTGTCCTTTGAAAGGAGTAGAATGAGAAATTCACAACTGGTTGCAGCAATTACAGCACTTGTGCATCATTTTGCTCAACAGTCTAGAAGATGTTTTACTAAACTGCTGGCCATAATAGCTTGGGAAATTGTAATTACACATGTACAATTCCAGAGTTCAGCGCACAGAGAAGGTATACCTACTGTTTACGGATGTAATATATGTAAGGTCACATCAATGAAGCCAAACTACCTTAGAACTTAAAGAAATACCTCCAAAGACCATTTTTGCTGGGCCTGCTAGGCATATACTTCATGATGCCAAAAGCAGAAACAAGTCTTTTTAAGGGTCATATTTAATGTCTAAGCAAAGCCATTTTTAGGAATACTGGCTTGTTAAAAGGGGTTTTGGAATGAGAATCCATAACTCTGCCTGAAGGAAGGGGTCTGTTTTCATCTGATTGTTATATACAATTTGTAACAAACTTTCTGAATTGTTAGAAATTTGGAAGGCGAAAAAAATCTTACCGTACTACGTCGTCTATATTGTTCCTGTACACACCTTCAAGCCTTTCAGCGGGAAACCCCATTGCAATAATATTGGGATAAATATCTGAGAGCAGGAGTCAAGGAAACCTGGGGATAAGAAGTCTTTTTACACAAACACATTAGGCCAAAACACTAGGTATCCAAAAATGGAATCTGAAACAACAGCCTAAAGGTTGTGAATTATACATACCCTTCAGATCCCAGTGAAAATGAACTATCAATGGCATAGCAGCAGGCAGCATGAAATTAACTTTTAAACACTAGCAAGGTCTAATAGAACTTTTTACCAGGAGACAACTGTATTAAAAGCAAAAGCTCCTATTCTCTTTTACACTGGATCCATTTGTCTTTTAGATCACACTAGCACCAACTCGTATTCCAGAGCCCAGAACGCACGAAGAGCAAAACGACCATGACAGGCCCCTTTCCCCTGCACCAAACCTTATGTTCATAGAGCAGATGGTCCACTCTGTGAGGGACAAACAGAGGACTTCTAAGCAAACGGGCCACGTGTGGTCACAGAATAAATCACATCAGCGCTGAACCTCGCTATTTTTAGAAACCTGCATGATCGGGAAAAAGTACGATCTCTAGGATTCTCCTCAGGCTCAGCAGATGCACATGTTTCAGAAGATGAAAAGCAGGTTTACATAATGGGTATACGTCACCTCCAGAACTAAAGTGCTTCAGGTTTAAGAAGAAAACATTAAGAAAGAAACTCACTGTGCACTTCACTTCCATTCGTTGAAGAATAACAACCTGCATTTGAACTAAACCCAAAGGGGTAAAAAAAAAAAGGACTCCACAGAGCGATGGGTCTTTTTGCTCACACAATTATTGCTGTGCTTCAATTTTCACATCTTTTAGCATGTTGAAACTGAAATATTTTGAACATGTTTTAGCACTCGTTTTCAGATGCGCTTTGATGTTGGGAATATCACCTGAACCGACATCTCAGCTGCACGCACAGCCCAGCTGGAAACGACCTGAAGCTTCATGAGAACAAAAGGTGCTGTCAAACCACATCGAGGTAAAAGGAGTACAAACTCAGCCTCAGAGGAGGAGCCCGCCACAGAAGACAGGAAAGGAGCACTGAAACGAGCTCTCCTCCAGACTGCTGTCATTTTTCTTTCACCAGACTCTCTGGACCCACCCGCAATGCTAGCTGCAGCATGCGATTGGCTGCTTGCCCTAATATGCTTTTTGAGCCGCTTCCCATTGGCTGGGTTTCTGCTCATTTTTCCACATTGCTTATAGTCCTATTATCATTTGACGACTAGATTGCTTTAAGTGCAATGTGGACCCTGACATATCTGGATGTAATATTAATTACTATAGTGGATTACTATCTAATCCACTATTAATGGCAATTAAAACAAAGATTACCACCTTTAGTTTTCAGAAAGCATAAGCTTTAAAATAACAGTTTATTATGTACTTTAACAAAGATATCTTAAGTGCAACACTCAAACTTATTTCCTGTATAATTTTCTTTACCTAATTTGACACAGACTAGCATTAGGAACCAGGTCAACTTGCTGCGATTGTGGACACATAAAAAAAGGCTTATTTTTACTTAACTGTAGCTGGACCGGAACGTTTTTAGACGGGCACCGTTTTCTAATGTGAGTTACACATAAAAAAAAATAATTTTCTTTTCGCATTTTACCACTTCTCTTACAAAGAGATTCAAGCGACAAAGGAATTTGAAATCTATGCCACAGTATCTTCAGAGGGCAGGGTGTTTCTAAGGATACAGCTAATGACCAAATGTGCCAAGCAGCAAGAACGTCTCCACTGAAACATGAACCAGCTTCCCTCTATAACCACAATCACATCTGTTCACTTTCACGCCGAGAAAACAGCAATATTTATCAGGCTGACAAAAAAAAAAACATCTTCCACTGGAAAGGAATTGCTTACAAGTATATATAAGCATTCCAGCTGAGCCAAAACTTGACTTCAAATGTTTCGCTTAAAAGGCAATTTTCAGTCACTTCTGTATTTATTAGTACCAATTTATAATTCTTTTAAAAAAAAAATATCCCATTATAAACATTTACTACTAAGCTTTATGAAGAAATACTGAAAAAAACTGATCACATACCTGTTGACTTCTAATTATAATTGTGCTGTGATAGTTTAGCATGGCAAAAAAAAAAAGGACTTGAGTCATTTCTCAAGTAATGGGAAGCTACAAAACATCCACAACTTGCAAAAGGTTTGGTATTCCGATTACATACAAGAAAGTAAACATACAAATCAATTCTGAAACCATTTGTATTTTTCATATCCTGCAGAGAGAAAACATTTTAGCAGAAAGTTTATAGGTGAAATCCAAATTTGGGCTTGTGCAATTTGATCTACCTAAACTTCACCCTTAATTCAACTGAAGTAATTTCCATTGACAACACATCTGTTGTGGAGTAGGACTCCGACCAGAGTGAAAGGGACTGCTCTTCAGTAGTGGATGAAACGGGTCCTCTCCAATGTGCAAAGTATTAATAGAAGGGCTACATAAATGCAGAGAATGAGTTTTATGCATTCTCTTTACTGCAAAGCAAAGCTCTAGAATTTAAAATACATTGAGAAACATCTGTAAAACCATGTTTAAAGTCTCCTGAAAGAAGCATGTCAAGAAATGATATAAGACTGTAAATTTGGGTATTTTAAAAGTTAAATAAATAAAGCAATACTTAATTTTAACAAAAAAATTAACTGAACACGCATGGTTTAAATACCTGAAATTAATGAGGTCCCCAATAATGCTTTCCTTAAGTTAATTGTTTTCTAGCCAGAACGAGTGTTGGCTAATATGAAAAAAAAAAAACACAAAAAATAACATTTTCAAACAAAAGCCTCAAAACTTAAGGATCTTGGCTTTCCTAGTGATACACTTTTTTGACATTCTCACCACAGTTTAGTTACTAAATACTTGTGGTAAAAAAGGCTGCTTCAGAATCCACATTTGACAGTAAACTATCTAAGTCTGAAACAGGAAAGAAAGTATTACGGTAAACTGTACCGTACTTGAGCTTTACACAATCCGGCAGAACACTGGCAGTGCTTAGCACCTGCTGCCACTGAATTCAAGCACGGCAGGTAATTAAATTTAACAAGTTACTTCATAAACTTTTCAAGAAATGACAATGAAGCTAAGCTATAAAAAACAAAGATAAAATAGCTTTGTTTTCCACGTTCTTTGAAAAGTACAAGTCGGAATAAGCAGTAAGGACGGACACATGGAAGTGTCAATAAAAGAACAATACGCTGCTAGCATTAGTTTATTGGCTGCATTTACAGAAACGTAAGCCTTCCTCAATTCCTTTATCATCGCCGCAAATACAAATAAATCATGTTTGCTGTGTTCCTATTTAAAATGGAGACGAAGGCTTAAAACTGTAGGTTTACAGAAATGGGATGTAAAAAAAACATGCAAATTAACTGTGGTCAGACCACCCAAACACTTTCCTCAGCTCTCACCACCATCTTAAGGGTGAGTTTTGTACACAAAAGTATCTTACAAAAGCAGATCTTCAGCTGCATTAAAAAGAAGGGTCAAAGACGCACACAATTTGAAATGCAAAAACTTCAATGTTTTCCCGTTTGTGTGATCACTCATCATTTGGCAAACAGCCTAGACTGAACCTTTTGATTGGCCAGAAGATTAAATAAAAACTTGGAATCCATTCGTTTCATGGCTAATGAGCTGTGCGGGACACTAAGACCCCAATTTATATGTAACCCAATTAAAAAAAGACTGCTTGAGAGTTTTGCCCTTTGGTTTCTTTAGCGCATACTTTAAAAATGCTAATGTACGAAAATGCAATAAAAGAAAAAAACACAAAGTTTCTAAAACGAAGCAAGCAAAATGGTTGTACTGAATATGATTAACAGCAAGGCTATTACAAAAAAAATCAAAGGCACAAAAACCCACATCGAAAAGACATTATGGTTTTCCTCACAAAAGAAAGAGTACAGTCAGACTTCATGGCAGTGAAGCAACAGAGGACTTCCTGTTCTGTATAATATACCCTACGTTTTAGTATTCATTTTCTATATAAATAATGCACACCAGCACGAAGTCTGATTATAGATTCCAATATGATAAATACCCATTAATTGTGTTGTTGCAACCAAAGGGAAAAGCCCATTCCTTTAACAAATCCCCATTCAATCAAAACCTTTGGAGTTCTAAAGCTTCGGAGAGGAGCTTTTGCTTGTGTGCCTTTTACTGTCTAGGGAAGAAAACAACTTTAAAAACAACAGGTGCAATAAAAACACACAGAAATACCAGAACTGACATGCAATGACTTCTGAGTTGTCTAGCCAGACCAGTCCAGGCAGAACTCGAGAACTTGCTCAGCTGATCCAATTCCAGTATCAAGTCCTAACACTTATTCCTTTGTGTTCAAGCTTTTTGTGCCCAATATCCAGCCACTTACAGTATTAAGTCAAGGATTTCTTATCTTAATAAACAAGTTTGAGTTCCCTCTATTGGTAAAAGGAGCAACTACCAGGCAGTAGTGTTTTTCACATTTAATGCACAGAGCCTGGGAATGGTGAGTTTTCATACAGCCCCCAGTGAACACGATATTTAATACAGTAAACAATCTCACAAGGCAAGACCATCCTGTAACATTCACAGAAGTAATATGTTTTTAATGCACTTTTGCTCTGGTTAATTTGTTTTACATTCAAACATACAAGGATAATGTTATACTTTTTAACCAGTTTATTCTAAACATCGTGTGGGTTGAAGTTTCAAAAGTCTGAACCCATACATAGAACATTACCCCAAACCCCATGTTCCATATTTGAAAAGACATGCAACTTAGTTTTGAACCAGCAAATCTTTGGACCCCTCAACTTCCTTGTATGAATAAAAACCTTCCAGAGTTTGTAATGTTAATCTTCATATGCACACACCAGAACTAGATGACAGGATACAATGACTTTGAGTTGAGTTTTCTTTATATTTGAATTACTTTCCATTTCCTGTTTAAAAACCACAATGGTCTTATGAGTGAACCTACGTTTCGCAGAGTTTACACAGGGTATTCTGCTTTCCTGCCACCTTCTACAGACATACCCACTAGAATAACTGGCATCTCACCTCTCCCCATATGCCCCCTGATGGACTGGGTATCCCATCCCAGATTACACCCCATGCTTCCAGGATAGAATCAAGACTGCTTTTAAGTGGCTTTCTGATAAAGAATAGAATAATAGGGACCAACTTATCTCACAAAGGGTGGTTCCCAAGTTTAGGTCTTATTAG